GAAAACTGTTAATCCGAGTAACGAAAGTTCTATATTTTTTACTTTCTTTAGATGGAATGGTGGATGGAATAATATTTTATGTATAATAAAATACCTCTGATAGATTATATGATGTATGTACATATTTTAAATACGTATTGTAACGATACTCGCGTTCTCATAAGTATTTTGTGACATAAAAATATCGAAACTGTTTAACCTTGGAATTGTTTTCGAATCCTACATATTATATGTTTATATGTTTAGTTTTGTACAGTATAAAATAAAGCCTCGTGTAAACATTTTGTCTATCTGTTTGTATCTACGCAACTCAAGAATCTCGATAATAAAAGTTCAATAATAGAATATTTCTCGAGGACTGTTTACTGAAACATTAATAAATAGTATAAAATACACGATACGATAGAATATAATACAATACGTGATTAAAGGAAATCGAGCGGTTGAAGAAAAAATATCTGACTACCTTTTGTGAATAAATTGGCTCAATAATTGGTCAGTAATTGAGTAAAATGATTCACATACTGGAATAAGATTCTATTAATTTAATGAATACAATACTGGCATTTGAATGAGCCACATTTATGCTGAGCATTAGCTTAAGCATTTAAGATACTATGGCATAAGCAATTTGGTAATCTGTGGAATTGTAAAATTACATTAAAATATATAAATTATAATAAGTTATTACAAAATAACGAAGACACAATCTCATACCATATTTTAGATTACGTGTGCAAATAATGTCAACATGAAATTGAAACATCAACTTCTTTAAACCCATTATTTTTTGTTCTTGTATCAATATCAAAATTAATTGTCTATAAAAATTTACTTTTATTTAAACTTTTATTCACTAATTTAAGATGTCAAATTTTTATAAATTACACGCATTAAATTGTAATACCGACTCATATGCATAGATGGTGTATCAAAAAAGTGAAAGAGAAAGAAAAAGAAGCAAAAAAGGAAAAAACTGGCTAGTGTTCTTAACAGGAACCAAAAAAAAACATTGGCTATCTTATTCTGATCTCCTCTATGTAATGTCATATGCGCTGAAACTAAAGCACTATTTACTATATACTTGTATATACAACACATTGTTGTTTATACAAATCTTTGTTTAAAAAAATTCGCTCTGAAACATGATTAGTGTCTTTAACATCTTGGAAATTCTTATATACGTCACATGATATTTTCGAGAATTCGATTCCAATCCCAAAAAAATTCCCGACCCGACTTGAATCAAACTGACATTTTTGGGTTTTCACATTCGTCTAATAGAGGAAGAAGTCGAGATATGGAAATCAGTGAACATCTACTCTTTGGAAATGGGTGCGTTTGACGTTGATGGTGTCCTTGAAGAGCTTAAACGTTCATCTAGCGGCGTAATAGCGCGTGACGCGGATAGTGCGATATGTTGTACCTCTGAAAATATACGGTGTACCGCACCGTTTTCTCGAGCTATGGTTCGGGAAGAAATTTTCTATCTGGAATACAACCGTGCCTTTCATTAAAATTTGTAAGTAATTTTTCACAGCTGAGATTGCTATGGAATTCCCAGTGAAATTGAAATGGTTAACGACGTTGAATAATCAAATAAGAAAGTTAAGCGGGAAAATTTCACGTTGTTGAAAATGAAAATTGCGAACGAAGAGTATACTGCAAGAATTCCGACAAAAAAATAAAAAAATTAAAGAGTTTCAAATTAAACGATGATATTAAGTAATAATAAATCATTTGGAACAATTTTTATTTATTTGTATGTTGAAAACTAGCGCTCACAAACAATATAGTTAACCAATCCTTAGACTTTTATTTTGTTTCTGTTACATCTTTCAAGAATAGTATGCTTGGCTATTAAACTAGTTCAATTTAGTTATTTATTATAATTATGTTAGGTTAGTATTAATTTTATAAAAATTAAGTTAGTATTAATTTAACTGAAAGATTAATTTTCTTACTCTCAATTTAGCTCATATTTAGCTTAGCTTATTGACTTTGTACACTCACTGATTTTTCTTTCTAAATTTTGCTATTTTTAATTTCATTTTTGCATTCTTTTTTGCAATTTTTTTCCGTATAAATAAATTATAAATTATAAACTATAAATAAATTCCGTATAAATAAATAAATTAAATCAAATACCCTGGCTAATTTTTACTAGTAGTAGTAAAATAACATGAAATAACATGAGTAGGAATATAAATACAATAGTAAGAATTGAAATAGAAGAATGCAGTAAATCATAATTAGTAAATCAATTAGTAATTTTAAATTTAGTAAATTTACTGATTATGTATTGAAATGAAACTGATGTATGAATGAAATAACTAAATTATTATTAATAATAATTTGACTGTCAGATCAATATAATTAATTTTTTTTCATTAAAAGGAATTAACAGCAAACGATAATTCTGCCGATAATATTTCATTGTCTTTTACATAGCCCTTCGAAGAAATGTTAATTTGTTCGTAACTGTTATTTTTATCCATCGTGTATTAGCATGGATATTGCAATTGGATAAAAGGGCAGATAAGGCCCAAGGGGAGTACTGATTATCTTTTTTCTGATATCGTAGTTACTTTATGTCAGATCTCGTATTTATTTTATTGAGCACCTCTTAAAGAATTCGTATATAATTTGTGACTCCTCTCTCATTAAAATCATGTAATAATGCGTTCTAGTGCAGTCGGAGAAATGTTAAATTATCGTTACTCGATAATAAATGTAATTTCGCTAATATACGTGTATAATTGATAAGTATATACGTCTAATATGTAACGTTTAATATCTAATTTGTTTTAAAATGAACATCTTTAGTTTGACATTAAATATCAAACATTTTCTGCAACAATAAGATGATTAATAAGATAATAAATTAAGTATAATCGCTTACAATGTTAATTTCGACGAATTAATGACATTGACGGACAGTATCATTTTCATTACTTAATTACAATTGTATTTGATATTTTTGAAAAAATCATATATGAACAACAAAATATTTTGTCTCTTACATAGTAAATTTTGTTAGCTTCCTTTTTTATTCTATGTACATATCTATATACGTTTCCACATCGCTCTATTTTTCTATTTTTTTAAAGTTATTTAATTGTACAAAGCCATGTGTCTTGTTTGTCTCTCGGTTTGAATAACATCCTTTATAAGTTGTAATTCTAATAAAATTTTCCTTACACTTAATATGTATAAATAAGTATTTATATTTTGTATATTATGCGTTACAAACCTTAGGAGCATAACGACACCAGTCGTTTCTAACTTTCTGGATACTGCTTTCCAGCTAGCCATAACCGTAAATTTCTGTTTCGCTGTTAACGGAAGCCGTGAGTCTGTAGTAGGTTGATTCGGTGTCGCCAATTTGCTAAGTTCGCAGCCCATGTCGAGTAACGATGATGTGTTCCTTTTTTCCGGAAATAAAAAAGAACCACCAATACACTAATCCTTTTCTTGCTTTGGCGAGCAATTATTATACTATTTGTTTTTTTCCGGATCAAGTTTTCGAATCACTCCTTATATAATTAAACTCCGTTAATCTTTGGCTCGTGTTGATGATGAATCGACAGATGCCCCCACGGAAATTAATCCGGCCGAAAAACGGACGAGCACTTTAATCAAGCAACTGCAACCAACTGCTTCCCCACCGTTTCATCAAATCACCCGCGTTAAAGCGTTTCACTGGATTCCTGTCTCGAAGCAGGATTTAAGATCCTAAGAGAAAGGAAGAATCCTTCCAGAACCTTGCAGTTATCACTTCTAGTTCTTTGTTCACCGCTTGGTTACCACTTCACGAATAGTTAAAAAAATTTAACAATGTTTTGTTTCATCACTGACGTCTTATTCAAAGTTATCGTAGTCGTCAAAATTGGAACTGCTACGTCGTAGATGAAAAGTTGAAATCCATTTGCTTTTTGTCGATTACCCGTTCTCGATAATTTTCCGTTTAATGCTCAGTCAAAACACGCATTGAAATTTACGGAAAATTTGTTTTTTCTCTTCTTCGATAGGATTTATCTTCTCCAAATCTTACGATAAATCGAAATAATAACGAACCACATATGTTGATAAAGTTCCTCTTCCGCCTTCATTGAAAACAATTGCGTTGAAATATTCCACTGAGAAATTGCGTGGTAATGATTTATTGATAATGGAGAAACGAGATTAGGTAGACATTTCTAGAAGGGAAACTGATAAGTTAGAAGAAGGAAAAAATAAACATACTTCATTCTTTCTAATTTCTATTGGTATTTAAATAACGTGAGTACCACGGGTACTTTTATTTGTTCAACAACATATGAAAATCAATAGCACATAGGTATCGTATTCTAATACATTCTAATAGCATCGATTTCGATAAGTTGTTTCTATCTTTTGAAAAAATGTATTTTGCGTTGCTTGAGTAATTAATTACAATGGCAAGAAAAATACAAAAATAAATATACATAATATCATAATATATAAATAAACATAATATTAATAAATAAATATAATATATAAATAAACATATCACCACATTGTACATTGTACATTTATAGTACAGTAAATAAGAGATGAATCACAAAAACTACATTTTAATATTTCCGTTACTTATTGTTTTATCATAAAGAATAGTATTACACTATTTCAAAGACTATCTATCATCTTTTTAAGCTATTTTAAGCCATAGGTCATTTTTCTCAAGGTCATCTTTTTATAAGTTTTCAAAATAAGTGCATATTTAATTTTGAGAGAGAGAGAGAGAGAGAGAGACTGGAAATTTAAAAACTGTTGACTTGATGTGAGAAAAAGAAGAAAAATATTTTCACTGCTATACTCAAATATAATAACTTACAATTTTTTGCTTGAAACTTTCTAATCGAAATCGATTTTCTGAAAAATTCATTTTCTTTAACGAATATTACTCTTTTAGGGAATTAAATTTTTGTCAATATCATTCATTTCGCTCAATATTCATAAATATATCTGATTAATAAATAAATGATTATAAAAAGAAGATGAGAAAAAATAACTACTTCTCCATAACTTTAATAAATTCGTAAATGATGCTTTATCTAGAATCTTGCCAAAATTTAAATGTTAACATAAATTAAATTTACCAATGTATAACAGAAAAAACACAATAAAAATTGGAAAAAATGATTCTGCTATTAACTTTGGAAGTTTGAAACAATAACTTGTTTCATAATTTAAATGTAAAATTTCTAAAGAGATTCGTTGTCCAAGTAGAACCGAAGAGAAATAATTGGAGAAAAAAAAAAAAACGAAAGGAATGAATAAGTAGTTGAAACTTCTTCGGTGGAAAAATATAGAACTTAGAAAAGAAGCAGTAACGAAGATGAAAATGAGGCAAAAAAAAAAAAAGAAAATTTGAAGAAATAATTTAAAAAAAACAGCAAAGTTTATAAAGGAGACTTTTTCTGCGCGCAAGAAAAGGTACGATCGAAGAAGAAACAACCTTTTTCAAAAATTTGAATGATCGTTGAAACTTCATATTATTCTATAAAAATTCGTAAAAAAACGAATGATCGATCCGGTCGATGGATCGAGTACGCGTTACACGAGTATTAACATTTTCGAATCCAGATCCAAATGGAAATAAGAAGAGAAACATCGCAAAAATAGAACAAGTAGTTATGTATAACGGAATAAGAGCAACGCCATAAAACTTGAAAAAGGAAAAAACAAATATGAAAGATCGTTTCCTTTTGTTTGATGCCGAGAAAGAAATACTAAATATGTATATTATATATTTGAGGGGGTAAATGCAAAGAATAACCAAACACTGGTACTCATAAATATTTATATACTTGTTCTTATTTTTTCAAGTTGTAGAAGAGATAAATTTTCTCAAATTTTACCAGACAGCGGAAGACAAGTAGAAGATAAAATGAACTTGAGACATTCGCATCGCAACCCTAGTATCATGAAATAGAATGTAATTGCGATATCCCTTGTAATCAAAAAGTTTACAATTACTTTCATAGTTACATGTATATACATTCTATGCTGAACTACAAAAATGCGTTAATATATTCACGAACACAATTAAAAAAATAAATAGTGATTTCTTTAAATATTATAGAAATACTTTAGTCTAAATTTTTTATATTTTCGCATACTATGTATATCTTGTGCATTTAAATTTTCTATAAATGTATAAACGTCAATATTCTATATGCACAATTAGTACAGATAGGCGATTTTCTTTTTAGAAAAAGAAACAGAATCTTTTTTAAGCGACTTACAATTTAGAAATCAAATAACTTGAAAACAGGGACGAACGTTTTTTAACGATGAAACAGTTGCACGTAATTATAAACACCAATTGTTATTGTTTACATATTTTTCAAAAATTATTTGTACTTTTAATATAACGATAATTATAAAGAATAAAATCATTTCAGATTTTCTTTTATCCGTAATTTTCTAATTAAATTACTTATATCCTGCAAACATAAATGAGTAGTTAAACACCTTTGGACAATAGTGTACATATGGAAACGAAAAACAAAAAATATTCAAAACCAGAATATTTATCTTTCCTGTTCTAAATTACCATTTTCACGATTTATCACTTTTTATAGTTAGTAACTTTATAGTACCTAACCAAGTATTCATATTCTTTAATACGTACGTTCAATATAAATATTTTTGGCAATTACAAGAATATAAATGCACATATCCACCTCTAAATGCACAATCCCACTTCTAAAATTTTAACATTTAATTCGGTTTAATTTCTTCGTTAAAACGACAAAATTTTATAATATATTAAGGACATGGAGAGTGTTAAATCAGTGTGACACTGAGACATTTTTGTCCTGGGGGGACAATATTAAAACAGAAAGAAATGATAAAACAACAAACGAGAAGAAAAGAAAAATAGAAATATTAGATTTGCGAGAAACAAGAATATCCTAGTTATCGAACATTGTCCACCGTCAAATTTCCTCCTGCTTCTGATTTAAGATAACACTGTAGGAATAAACAGAAGGAACATAAAAATGTCGAAGAATCACACCTGATGGATAGACGAAACACGGTCCCTGATCGCCGACGCGTGTTCAAATTGTCAACCGAATCGATTCGCGCGATTTACAAGCCACGAGCCACAATTTCCCCTCGGTTTTAACAGATGCTGGCTAGTTGATCAGAGGAGTGCTTCTGCACCCTGTTCCCTCTTCTTCATCTCGGTCGAAGGAAGAGAGAGGCGAAAGAGTATGTGGTTAATGTGTACGAGTATTTTCAACGACGCAACCTTTCGTCAAAAGAGGTTCTTCTCGTTTCGCGCGTGTCTGTGTATGCGTTACTCGCGAGTACAGGCAATTCCTGTCGATAGAGCCTTTCTTCGTCGTTCTTTCGTACGTAGTTCTCCCTGCGAGGATCTAATATATGCCACGATTTTCTAATATGATCCCACGTTATCTTTTCTATATAGCTACGATTTATCTTTTCTATCTTTAGAACATCTCCCGGGGCTTCGGATCGCTTACGTACTGATAATTTTACACAACCGTGTTGCCTTCAGCCCAGACGAGCCGAGACTGAGCCATCAGTAACAAGTGCTCAGGTCGAATACGCACATGCGCGCAGCTACCTTCACCCTCTTGTCTTTTCGGCCTTCCCTGTTAGACCCCTTTCCGCTTTCCTCTCCTCTAGACCCATGTCCTTCTTCCCTCGTCTCCCCGCCCTCGGCCCATTCCTTCCGCCCTTCATCCCACACCTTTCGTCCTGCTCTCCGCGTCACTCGCGTTCTCTTCGCTATCTCGCATAAACCTTCCTTGGTACAACCTACGACCAATTAATCGAGAACTTTGCATTTTTCTTCATCGACTGAACGAGTTTTTCTTATTCCCGAGCGTTTCTGGCGCGGCGTCGCGCTACATCGGACAACCGACGACGGACAGACATAGCCTAAATAGGCTAGTAAATTCAAGTGACTTGAAATGAATAGTCTTTTCTTTTCCAAAGTAGTGAAAGTTGACTCATAATAGTAGTGAAAGTTACGCTAAAATAAAATTCGAAAAAGAATTTTTTTTTTAAGTTTCTGGCTGCATAACATTACCAAAAGTTTGAAAATTTACCGAACGAGAAGCATACAACAAATTAAGAATGCACATCCGTCTTCCAACACGTGCCTTTTGATATATTTATTCAATATATTATAAATAGTATTATAAATTATCCTTCTTAAATCTCTAACAAATAAGTATTTTAGTAAATACGTGTTTTATTATTGATTATAAGATTATCTGTATAATACTTAGTCTGGACTAAATATTCTCCTTTTTAGAGCAAATGCATTAACATTGAAGTCTATCATTAAATCTGCTTCTCGCAAATAAAACTTTTATATTACGAGATTAATTAATATTTTCATA